AACAGGAGCGAGAAAATCATTTTCAATGCAGCCATTTTAGTTTCTCTTCACCGTCCTCGGACTGACGGCATTGACGAATGCGATGAACGTTTGGTTGCTTACGCGATTTATTCCGGATGTCGCACTCTCGAGTGAGATCAAAGGTGATGAATAGTTGGGTGGATAGGAGGATGAAATAATTTCCATTCAGTTGATTTATAAGTCAGAACAAGATTATAAGGTTGTTCCAAAAGATAAAGGAATTAAAATTAGTGAGGGTCTGACGGAATTTTAATCGCTATGACTCAATAAAACCGTTCATTCTCAATAAATGTTGCCTTATTTTCTCACAACTTCATTCTTAAGGTTCCTTGTCATAAACAAATGTAAACTTATGAACTGGATGAGGGATTGTGCACAATCGATCGATATGTCCTGTCAAGTAGTGTTATGAATGAATAAATAACCTAAAAATAGAAACTGCATTGTGGTCCGAATATCCATAAGATTTTCTGACACGATCAATAGTTTACAAACGCTTCATGCACACTTCTATTCAGAAGTAAGATTAGCTGGAGTTTGGAAACGTAAACTTCTTGTGACCATTTGCGAATATCTCCACTCACTTCACACTGTAGACTTAAAGCCTGTTTCTGGTGCTGTGAGAAAAGAGATGGGGTATACAGTAGAAAGATGATGACGGTGTGTGTATGCATAGTCTTTCGTTAACCCTAGATAACAAGAGAGTGGAGAAGGATAGAGGGAAGGGTAAGAGCGCAAAGGACCTGCTTCAGGGCAATTGTCTTGGTCAAAGGCATGGGCCCCGTGGGATTCTGGGGGTCTACAAACTCATCATCCCCCTCCCTCCCTCCCCATACACCCCACTCTTATGGTTGTTAACTCCTCGTTCTCACTTACTCACACTACGGTTTAGGTAGAGTCACGAGCTGACTAATTTATGCCTGTGTTTTCAGTTTGGCTACTTTGATGCAACACCTGTGTGTGTGAGAGAGAGAGAGAGAGCAAGCGAGTGAGAGGGAACTTGTGCAAAAATGAACTATGGCCAACTTGCCAGCCGTCCGCGCGCGAGCGCGCGTTAATCTTATCCAGCGTTTGACACATGTGTTTGGTGTCGAATGGTGCGGTTAGTGTGTGTATGTGTATGTGTGTGTGCGTGTGCGTGTGCTCGTTCTTTTTGGTCGCATGATTCTTTGAGCTCGTCTGTAGCCATATTCCCCGTCGCTTTAATGTGTCCAACACAAGGTCAGGTTCCAGAAAGACAATACGGGAGTACAACAATTGATGGATGGATAGTTTATATAGTAAAATACGGTGTAATACCCATAAATAAGCTTAGAAATTCATTATAGTACGGTGAAAAAGCAAGATGTAGCCACAAGCCACTGCCAGTTAACTTGAAGACTGTGTACAAGCCAATGTAATCAGATATCCTCAGTTATATACCCCCCTCACACACACACACACACACACAAACCTCTGACCCCTTCCTTGTGAACGTTAGAGTGAGTAAAGTCTTGTTCCATTACTTACCCTACACGTGGTTCTTTCTCTCTGTATGTGGTTAATTTCGTCCTTTTCAATCTTCCTATCACAAATTTGGATTTATTTGGTCCTTCTTGGATTCGCAGTCCCGTGATTTCACACGTTTCGTTCACTACTTGTTTTGTGTATCACAAATCCACTTGATTTAATTATCCATTGGCACACACACACCCGCCCGGATGGGATAGGATGTGTCCGTGTCTGTGGTAATAATAACCCAGATGATTTGCTGGTCTACTCGAGCAAATAACGTTTTTCTTAACAGACTATTAACAATAACAGCTGAAGGAATAATGATAATAATAACAATAAGAATAATAGTAATAATCCTAAAGTAGTGATAGAATACGGGAGAAGTTAGGTCTATAAAAATGACGACTACAACCAACTAATGTATAGAATCCGATACGTTGTGATCAGCCTCTATTTTTGCCCGTGTGATCAATGCCAACTTTAGCGGAGAATTGCTTGTGATTGTTTCTTTATTTTCAACAATCTATATTGGCAATGCCAGCCATCGTTTTAAACTATCCATCTACTTGTCGGTCGATATCCGTGCATGTGTTCGCGTCATCTCTCTCTCTCTCACTGGTTCAAACGAATAGAAACAAGAACTCAGCGTCTGGGAGGCAACTATTGCTTCCCTCATCACAGGCACACATTAGGATGGAAAAACTAAACATACAAACAGACCGGTTAACGGATGAACGAGTGCCCTGTCCGATTTGGGTTCGATGCGGTCAGATTGACACAAACAATACCCTCGGAGAGCTGCTGCACACAACCAGACAATCAGTCAGTCAGTCAGTGGATGCCCTCCTGTCACTGGTAATCTCCCGCTAGCCTCACACTGGTCGCTTAGTTATCAGGCAACCGGCTGAGCACAGGCGTTCATCCATATCAAGTCTCTGCAGCGCTTGCATCTCCAGCCTAGTCACCGCCAGTCCCAAGTTCCACTCCTACCCCGCTACCCTCGCAACCGTTGTGTCCCCATCGAGCACCACCAATCACTCGATGGACTTTCGCTGGCCTAGTGACGAGAGTACACACACACAGCCTCTTATGGCTGACTGAACGTAATGAGAAGATAAGCGGATTTTCAACCGAATCATTCTATCCAGCTTTCTCGAAACGTTCAGCTCCCTGTTCCACTTCTTGCTCCTCACTGTTTGTGTGTGTGTGCGTGAGTGTTTGTCTGATGCAAACAGTGAATGTAGCTCACATGCATCTCTGGGGTTGTTTTGTCGCGCGCCTGCCACGTGTCTGGTTGCGCCACATCAGAGTAGTGCACGACTAGCTTTGCGATTTTCTCTCTCTCTCCCTATCTGTGTGTGATCTGACCCTTTGAAATGTCGGATAGTTTTGTACTTATGTATCTAATCGATCTGAAGTTCTTTTGGAGCATGAATATAATCCACATTTGACGAATTCCAAGTCGTCAAAATGAGCTGCAAGTTGTCCTCAAAGTACAGTGGTTTTCATTTTCTTGTGGGTGGATAGGGAGACACGTGATACAATCATTAGTCGGTTGATTTCGAAGGACTTCGGTAAGCGGACGATGTACCGACTTCCTCCGTCAATTCGTTCTAGCACACTTCTCACAGTTGACACTATGCAGATAATATTCTCTCGACCGAACACAATGAAAATACTGATTGTTAAGTGTATTTTTTATTCTTCGGGATTTGGTACAAGTCAGGAACTAATGCTTTCATTTGAATCCCAATATACCTTCTCCCCAGTTATCATCCACTGCACCTCCATCAGGGGGAGGGGGGAGCTGATTTCCATAAGCCACATTCTAGCAATCCTACTACGTGTTTTAGTGCTTACCTTTTAGATCTTCTATCGGTTATTGTATTTCATCTGCTTATAAAGTTGTTTTTCACACTCTACATGTTGATCGTTGCAATGGCAGGTCAGAAACACCCACATGATCAGTTTATCTTCAAAGTACAATCTCCATAGATCTTAGCATAAATTCCTACGGATGAGAATGCAGTTCAGGAAGAAATTCTAATGAATATTGGTATTCGAAACTCCAATGCCGGTATTGATACCTTGTGCTTCTGCGTTTAGGTTGCCGCCAATATTTTCCCCATAAGTGAAAATCTGCTCGAATGTGATCGCAACGATTACTGCAGTACAACGTGTATGCAAATCACACGCGCGCGCGGGGCACAGAGATTGAATTTATTACAGTCCATAATGAACCCATATTTTCTTTCACACATTCTCCTCATTAGGTGTGGTTTCAAAATCGACGAAGTAAGGAACGCCGCATGAAGCAGCTCAATGCGTTGGGCGCACGTCGCCCGTTCTATCGAAATCCCCGACGTCTGCGCGGATTGCGTCCGGGTCTCGGCGCGCCAGAGCTGAGCACAGAAGCAGCGGTGGAGTTGATGTCTAATCCTGCCTATCATGGTTACCTGGTCGAGAATAATCCGGTAAGGCTTTGAGGAGAAATTTCACCCTCCTATACATTGTATTACCACCCAGCTTTGTTAGAAAATTATGAAGAAATTTTTGTCCCGAGTAAGGGCCTGACAACAAGAATTCACGAAAGAAGAGACCTGTTTGTGTCATTGTCTTCCAAGGGTTGGAACAATCCAAGTCTATCGTGTATTTTTTGTGGGTGTTTTCACCCTCACTGCCCACCCAATTAGCCACTTTTTGGTTTGAACTCGCTGGAATTTGAATCAGTGTTATATCATCAACTTCCTCCTTGATGACCAATGATTTTTGCGAACTACTTGTCCATCCTAGAGATTGACTAGCATGAGCTATTTGATGCATTCATGTCAAATCTATTCGAATTCACACATCACATGCCTGTCTATTTGATTCGTGTAGTCAGACGATCGATCGTGCAGTAGTTCAAGGGTTTTGGATTTCCAACCCGAAGGTTCGAAGTCTGAGTCTATGCAAGAAATACAGCAAGGACATGCGCTGGTGACGAGTCCGGACACTGAACGGAAGCAGTTGTTCATTGCTCCTTGCCACTCGTAACCGGATTTCTCTCCCTTTTTGGTATTACTAAACACCATTTGGTCTCCCGTCAGAGTAGATGGACAAGGGTCAAGATCTAACTCCCGTTCCGATACACACTATAAACCGAATGTTTTTTTGCATAAATCGTTGGAAAATTTATTTTTTAAAGAATTTCTTCAAACAAAGCCAAATTTTATTGTTGAATACGACTGACAAAAAATGTGTGCTATATTAGTCATTCTAATCTCCTCTTTGTAAGTGAACAGAATTAACGGGAACGGTCACTTTTTGGTTCTAAATACCAGGGTTCTCACCTCTGCAATTAAAAGGGCTTCATTGCAAATTCTCTCAGGTCTGTTGCATAGCTTTGCCGGTTCAGGATGCACCGTATCAAGACAAATGGGTGCATTTGGTCCAATCAGTTGGTTCACTTCTCACTACCCAATGTGTCAATTGAATCTTTCCTGTGAACTGAATCGAGAAAGAAATTGATGAAACCATGTGTTCAGAATGTCACCTCATGCCGAACAGACGTGCTAGTGATTTTTGACTGTTCTTACAAGCAATTTACTTCTCGTTGGTATGGATGGAGGGAACTTTACTGTTCATAAAACTAGCATAATGCAAAATTCTAAAACGAATCTGTAATCCGGAAAAATGTATTCAAACGAACCTACATTGGTACCAGACCCCTTTGAAATGTTGCTTTCAATCCGGGAGAGTTGGTGTGGTTTTCGCAATTTTTTGGCATCTGTTTTTGAAACAAAATTTGTTTACAATATCCGGAAAAGTTGTTCTGAGCAACGAGTTCTTCTGTGTGCGGAGGACTTGCCAGTTATGTGTGTACCCTTGGTTCATGATCCGACTCCACTCACGAAACTTCTGACCACTGGTTTTACATGGCTGACGACCAACAACTTCAGTACTTCCAGCTCAACTGTTCGTGGTTCCAGGCCGAGCAGGGACAAAATTGTGTGCAGAGAACACCAACCAGGAAATGCAGCTGCTATATGTCTATTGCAATAAGGAAATTTTAGTTCAATAGAACTCCCAAGGAGAAAACAGGTGATCGTCGAACTACATTCCTTTACGAAATGTACACTCAGTGAATGCAAACCTAATCGGTTCACAAAAGTTACTCATTTTCATGTATCCTGATTTTCTTTCATATCGTTAGAGCCGGATCATGTTGGGTGCATTTGTTGCTCACATGTTTCCGGGACAAATTGTTGTTCTCAACTTTCTATCTAAAAGTTCTAGTTATTTTACCGGATCGTTCAGAAATACTGCAATTCAGAATAATACGATAGATCGATGCGTTTCTGATGGGACAGAGAGACAGTTAGACAGACAGACAGACAGACAGACAGACAGACAGACAGACAGACAGACAGACAGACAGACAGACCAGTCGCCCTGAAACTAATCGTGCTGTTTATTCGCAGATCATATCTTGAGTTGTTTTTACAGTGATTTCCAGAATATTATAGTATACATTTTGGCTCGTATTATTCGTACTGTTGATTGGAATGAAGGATACATGCCATTACATGCGATCTATTTTCTATAAAAAAAAATAGTAGTAGATAGTAGTTAGATTCGAACATTAAACTATACGGTCGATGAACTGTTCAATTCTGCCGTGCAAAAGCCGCACGTACAGTCTAATGGACCATCCATTATAACTGTCCACTAGCATGCCTGTCCGTGGATCAGCCGATTACTCGTAATCCACGCTTCCTGTTCAGCTTATCGTTTGACCTTGTACCAAATGGGACAAATTCAGGCCATCTATAACGGTACTATAGTGTGTTTCCCCTCTCTTTCTCTCTCTCGCTTTTATCCGATCGCCACACAGCGTCATCAACTGAATAGCCTTTTTAAATGTTCCTATTTGTTTTAATCATCAACATGAAGCGGTTTATAGCATTAGTTCCCACCTATTGGCTAAACATCATTAGTGAACCTTTCTTGACGGTCACAGTTTTCACCAGCACACGCAAAAAGTATTCTATGTGTAGTTCTTCAAAGATAGACATCGACCAAATCTGCTCGCACGACGATTTACGACGATTTTGTTTTGCTAATCGAATAATTGCTTTGACATTCTAATCAATCGCTCTAATGAAATATTACTTTGTGAGAATTTCGTCCATAAGAAACTTGACGACACCAGCCATCCACTCAGTCTCGACCTAGCTGCTCACCGTTCCCGCGCCTTAACCCGATCCAATTATCACTGCTCATCCTCCCGCATAAATATTTATCGTAATTCTTTACTGACAAGATAAAGATCTGAAACGAACTAATTTGAAAATTTCAAAGATGATCTTTACTCAAGCTTTATCATTGTTATTTATGATTTTTCCCTTCTTATTGCAATGATGAAAATTTTTTAAATTGGAATTTGGGCATATTTGCTTGCACGAGTCGTTGCAGTAGAATACAACAAACCAAAACAACTTATTTCAAAAACTGTGGAACTAATCTCCCAAAGAGTTGACACACGTGACAAAGTTTATGAAATCCGCATCCACACTGAAGATCCTTCAGCTTGCTGCGTGTGATCAGAGCCGGGTGTTACTAAGCCAGTGTACTTTGGAGAGCGACAAGAGGACTTTCGAAGATAACAAGATATGGCAACTGTATTTGCATGTTCTCATGGGATCGAACACGTCTGTGATTGAAATTTATATCCCA